CGTGATGTCTTCATGGAGGAGTGGAAGAGGACTCCAGTGGCAACCTGTGAAGCTCTGATGAACTCCATGCCCAAGAGGGTTAAGGCAGTGCTGGAAAATAATGGTGGGCGCACAAAATATTGACACTTTGGGCCCAATTTGGACATTTTCACTTAGGGGTGTACTCACTTTTGTGGCCAGCGGTTTAGACATTAATGGCTGTGTGTTGAGTTATTTTGAGGGGACAGCGAATTTACACTGTTATACAAGCTGTACACTAACTACTTTACATTGTAGCAAAGTGTTATTTCTTCAGTGTTGTCACATGAAAAGATATATTAAAATATTTACAAAAATGTGAGGGGTGAACTCACTTCTGTGAGATACTGTGTATATATATGTGGGGTCAAAATAGATTTTCAGGGAAATCAATGCTTTTATTTAGCAAGAATGCATGTGAAACTTTTCAGTTTGTTAACATTATGTAACTACATTAAGTTACATGAGCTAACTAAAAAAAATACTTTTTTTATTAAAAAAAAGAAGGCATTTTTACATTTTAGTAAATATGTGACCCTGGACCACAAAATCAGTCCTAAGGGTCCATTTTTCAGATTAGTTATATATAACCTGAAAGCTGAATAAATCAGCTTTCCATGGATGTATGGTTTGTTAGGATAGAACAATATTTGGCCAAGATACAACTATGTGAAAATCTGGAATCTGAGGTTGCAAAAAAAAAAAAATCCAAATTGATAAAATCGCCTTTAAAGTTCTTAGCAGTGCATATTACTAATCAAAAATGAAGTTTTGATATTTACACTTGGAAATTTAAAACATATCTTCATGGAACATGATCTTTACTTAATATCTTAATGATTTTTGGCATAAAAGAACAATCGATAATTTTGACCCATACAATGTATTTTTGGCTATTGCTGCAAATATAACCGTGCGATTTATGACTGGTTTTGTGCTCCAGTGTCACATATTCATTTGAGTATTTACTAATATATTATTCAAATCAAACATTAACTTACACGTAAACATGCATTAAATTGTTTACACATCCAATAGATTTGAATTCTTAAATGGACCGGTTGTGTGAGTTCTGTTTTCGTTTGGTCAGTATTAGACTATAGCAGCAGTGACAGTGCTGTTTCATACAAGTCTTCTTTACTTGGCCCCCTTTTCTTTTAAATCCCACTGTAGCGGACGATCACCAGGCTCTGATCTGGGACATCCAGCAGATGCCGCGGGCCATCGAGGACCCCATCCTGGCTTACACGGCCGAGGGAGAGATCAATAACGTGCAGTGGGCCTCCACTCAACCCGACTGGATTGCCATTTGCTACAACAACTGTCTGGAGATCCTGCGGGTGTAGAGCTGAGGCTTAAAGCGCCTCTGTGCTTCCTGCGGGCAGCATTGCTGGAAGAGAGTCTTTCATGGAGCAGAGACTTGTTTTCTAAAGTTCCTGAGGTCTGCGGGTTTCAAGCGGGAAACCGTATGAACGGGCCTATGGGAACAACAGTCTGAACAATGTGTGTGCAACTTTTGTCTGGGAGAATGAAGCCGTGTGAATGAGTATCTGTGTTTCTGCACAATATATCATATTTGTCTGTTTTCCTACTTGCCGGTGTCCCAGAGTCCTCATAATGGGATCTTAAACTATCTTTAACCGGTAAAAAACATTTTTGAAAACTAGGATCAGAAAGATGTAAAATTGCCAATATGGACAATACAAAACTACCATTTTATTAAGATGTAATTACTTACTTCAAAGATTAACACAATTTTAAAGGTCCTCTGAACTTCAGATCCCGGGGGTTTTTTTTTTTCATTTCAGGAAGGTGCCATTTTTTTTTGTATCCCTGGAAATTGTTAAATACAGGATAGTATGGAGATAAAATGCTTGACGTCACTGCAAAACATTCATAATTGTACCTCAGACACGCTCACATCTCACAAAGCGGTTAGTTGCGCTGTTGAAGTCAATGTTTGAGTGGGCAATGTCTTTTCCATTTAAAGATGCATTACTTAGAGTTCCTGTTATATTTTTCCCCATGTTCTTTTTCATTAAAAAAAGTTAATCCCCTTTCAGCATGCTTGTGCTCGAAGTGAAATGTGTACTGTATACATATATAATTATTATGTACAAGGTAGGACAAAAGTGTCACTTTTCCAGAATAACTTTGCATTGCGAGTCATTTGGTCGGTCCATGAAACTGTTCTGTTGTTACACAAATATGATGTAGTAGTAACGCCACACCTTTCGGTCGAATCAAAAGTGAATCTGCGAGGCTGTGTGGGATCCTCATCCTCACCTCACACTCTTAGATGGAGTGTTTAAATGTAAGTAGTTCCGTGTGTGTCCAGCCATGATGCTTTTCTATTAATAAACTCACTTAATAAACTCTTGTTCTTTCATAAAGCTTTCTGTGTTCATTAATCATGTAAAGGCCAGCCAACTAATTTTTATGGGTGTACAATGTATCAAGGCAAAACTGGTTATTGGCTGATTATATTAGAGATTATTTTAGTGGTTAGATATTGGATATTTAATTCGGCATGCTCATTTCCTTTATTTCTGTGTTCTGATTAAATTTGCCATCTAATAATGCTCACTACGTTTATTTTTATGAACTGTTAAATGTAAAATTTGGCAAATTTCTAAAAGAATAGCCATTTTTATACTACAGATTAGAATATTAGATAATTATTATTTATAACCAGAGATGCTAGCACTGAAAAATACTATAATAGTATATAAAAATACTAAAATAACACTGCTTATAACATTAAAATAATTATTAGCTTGTTAGTATTGAGCATTTTAATATCAGTGGATCCCTAAAACTAAAAAATGATGAAAAAGAGACCAAGAATATTGATATCTTGAACCCAGTGCAACATTAGCACTTCGTTATAAATAACATTTAATCTAAAAAATAGTAATAATAATAAAAAGTGTGTGCTTTTGGAAACCTTCACAGTCCAATAAAGGTTTCCAATCATTTTCCATACATTCATCTGCTTACGTTGCAGAGGTAAAACAAACTTTACACTGATTTCACCACAAAAAAGTTTCTCCAATCAGAACGTCAAGATTGAGTAGTCTTCTCTTTCAGATTCAATGATCACATTTCCAAAAGATCCCACATCTTAACACACAGTCACACCACCCATCAGCAGTTAAAATAACCACTTGAGTGAGAAATATAATTTCATAACCCTGAATTCATGCCTATTTGGTAACTATGAATCCAAATATACAACGCTTCATATTTGTGCCAGTCATAATGTCATTTGATGTAATAGGCTAATACATTAGATTTGGGTCAAACACCTAACCTGACACAAAAATATATATATTTATAATAGTATATCATTAGAAAATCTATAAACGGAAAAGAACATTTTGCACGTTTGCAATATCAGTACACACAAGCAATTCATTATACATTGTCATTTCCTCAGAGGATCCAACAGGACATAAGAAGCGGACATAAGAAGACAAGATGAGGTTTAGTATGTAATGACAAACCTCAAACAGACAGACAAAAATGTACAATTATTACATGATTGTGGAAGGTCATCATAATGTAGTATCTTCTCTTTGACTGTCTTTATTGGCCACTGTGCTTCTCTTCATATTCAATGACACAAAAGTCGAGAGGTGTTACCAAATACTCTCGCATCAGAGGAAAAAATCCTGCTCTGAATGAGAAGGGATATGAGACAAAACACCTCAGAGCTTCAGAGAAATCTACAGTCACCGGTTTCTCTACTGGACGCCCTTTTAACTAAGTAGCATGAATACATTTTATTGCAAAAGTGAAATATTGAGCTGTTTGAAAAGGGAAAGCACATATGCGTCTCAGAACGGACAGTAGTCTGTTTTTGGCCTCTAGTTTCCAGGTAAGACTGGATCGGACAGGTGCCTCTGGATATCTGGTGATCCCTCCAGCGTGCTCGGACTCTCCAGACTGTCCGGGAGCGAAGGGAAGCGTAGGCTTCTACACAGCAGTCCGGGGGGCTGTAGATGAGGCTCTCCGGTGGGATTCAGTCCTGTGGGCACAGCCAGCTCTGTCTCTGGGGACATGGACATGGTGTCACTGGAGGCAACTGTTAGATGGATCCCACTGGACAAAGAGTCTGGAGACTTCTCTTTGAAGCTGTCCAAGTCTGGGCTCTGTGGATAAAACAGGTCCGGTTCAATACAGACATGCAACAAGTTGACTACAAAGATTCATCTAGACTGCTGATAATGTAAGAACCATAGACTGTATAAAAACATGGACGTAGTGTCCGTGACGTCACCCGTAGGTTTCCGAAGAGTGGTTTTGAAGCCTAAAGTAGGCGGAGCCTGCCGTCGCCATCTTGGCAGCGCGTCACTCCTGGATAATCAAAAATGGGCAAAGAGGCGGGAGCTGGTTGCTGAAACCACGCCCACCTAGCTCGACGGAGGTGACTCTAACTGTGACAAATATCTTAGTTGGTGACAATCATTATATTACCAATATCAGTTTACACGTCGCCATCTTGGTAACACTAGTCATGTAAGCAAGTAAAGCTCCTATCTACTTGAACACGAAAATTGGAAATCTACCAAAAAAATTATTCTCTAAAAAAGAGGTTGTTCAGCAGGGGTTTTAATAGTGGGGTCTCTAGACTCCCGGGGGCCTGCAAGAAAGTGCTAGGGGATCTGCAGGAAATTTGAGAGAAAATGCATTTTTAATACATTTTTGTAATGCGTTTTTTTTAATTAAATGTGTGTAATGTTATTTATTGTTATTTTTTTATTTAAAAAAAATCTAAAAGTTTTTTTGTTGTTATTAATTGTTTTAGTTATTTTTTGTCATGAAAAATCATGAAATGATTTTATTCTATTGACAGCCCACGTTTTTAACAGTAAGAAATAAAACCTGAAATCTGCATGAAAGATAAAATAATAATATAATATAGTTTTGTTACAATATATATATATAGTTTTGTGAAAAATGAATAGAATAGAATAAAAATATGTAGTACAGAGATAGAAATATAAGAAATATTTCCAAGTTAATCAAGTTACCCTTCAGGTTTTATAATTTAGTTTATTAATATATATACAGGTGCATCTCAATAAATGAGAATGTCGTGGAAAAGTTCATTTATTTCAGTAATTCAACTCAAATTGTGAAACTTGTGTATTAAATAAATTCAATGCACACAGACTGAAGTAGTTTAAGTCTTTGGTTCTTTTAATTGTGATGATTTTGGCTCACATTTAACAAAAACCCACCAATTCACTATCTCAACAAATTAGAATACTTCATAAGACCAATAAAAAAAAACAATAAAAAAATCATCACAATTAAAAGAACCAAAGACTTAAACTACTTCAGTCTGTGTGCATTGAATTTATTTAATACACAAGTTTCACAATTTGAGTTGAATTACTGAAATAAATGAACTTTTCCACGACATTCTAATTTATTGAGATGCACCTGTATATTTCAATAATTTATTTTAGCTTTAGTACAAACGACAATTTAAAAGCACATTTTTTAACATTTTCAAAAACATGTTTAATGTTTATAGTAACAATTATCTTAGCCTGCTATTCAAGTATATCAGGTCATATACATCCAGCATATTCATTTTTATATGAGTGGTCTGTTTTGTCCTCCTTATCCACCCTATTTTTTCCCGACGAGTCGCCACTGATAATTTGTAAATTTAATGTATCTGGCTTGCGGACTCGTCTGCTTCCAGCTATTTTTAGCTGTACGAAACAACTTGTTTTGCTGCTTGATATTGCAAAAGGTGTGTCCATATTATTTGAATGTATTATCTTAATTATGAAGACAGTGGTTTGTAGTGCAAACAGTTTTACAGTTTACTGCACTTTGTTATTCTTCTCGTTATTTCCCTACAGCGCATTACTGAGAAATAAGGTGGATACTGCTTCTGGAATTACACAGCTGCTGTTCATCTATGTAATGTGTAAGGAATAATTGACGACGGGCCGTATTTTTTGTAATAATTCAACGGCCCGGAGTCAATTATTCCGCTTATACTACGGTTACCACACCTCAAGACATCGATCAGATGATATATTTAAAGGGATTTGTCTGGTTTTTGTACTTAAATCGCTATTGTGAGTAGGATTATTTCTTCCGCATCGCATCCAACGCCTCTTTTGCTAGTTTCAAAACGTCATTTTAAAGCTAATGGAGGCTTGAGCCGTTGATGTTATTAATGAATTTATTAGAAAGAGAGCGAGAGAGACAGAGACACACAGGGAAAGAGAAAGAAAGAGAGAGAGAGCTTGTGTGAATTAGGCTACCTCTGTGCGTCCCTCAACAGTGTTCTGCAGCAGCGTCTCTAAACAGAGCTGTTATTACCTCGCTAGTGAGAAATGTCATGTGTAGCCTTTAAGTTGCTACACGGGCTAACTGATAAATCGTCAGGGCAGCGCTGACAACACCTTTTTGTGCAAACTGCGTGACCGTAGTGTGCGTGTGCGAGCACGTGTGATTGCAGTAATTCCTGTGTGCTGTATAGGTACTGTATGCTAATTTCCGTTATTACAGTTAACTATGCAAAGTGATATGGAACTGTAATGAGGTCAAGAGAGCTGCCTGGAACTACGTTCGCCGTGCGTTTCCCTGAAAATAATTGCACACCTCGGAACGTTTGTCAGCCAATCAGATTCAAGCATTCAACGGCCCCGTAGTATAAGTGGTTTACAAACCAACGTTCTTCTCTCACTGCTCACGTGATAACCTACCTTTCCAGGTGATGAACTGTCATTGATCTGTAAAGATGGCATAGTGCTGTGCGTTGCTGAGGTGTACAGGCTGGTAGGATGAGCGTGGTGGGCCAGCAGTTCAGGGGAAACAGCGCTGTAGGCAGGGGGTACAGGTGCCATCTGCCTTTGCAGCAACTGCAGGATCACATTTATATCAGCCGTCATCCTGGTCTCCAGTCTTTAGAGAGAGAGAGAGAGAAAAGTGGAGTTGTAAGACAAACGCAGACTTTGCCATTATAAGCTTGTTTTTTTATCATCTGGATATCGGACCTGTTGAGTTGCGACTGCAGCAGCTCCAGACGCGCCTGCAGCCGACTCGGTCTGTCCTCAACACAGGGGCTGTGATGGTGGTAGCAGGCCTGCACTGCAGAGGAACGTCTCTGACTCTCTGAGTACTGACTGGTCCTGCGGTCGGGCAAACAGCCGTATAACCCTGACACGTTCAGAGGAGCCGCTGTATGGATGAAGAATGAGTGAAAAGATCAAGAGGAACAGAAAGATACAGAGTAACAGACAAGTTAAATATGGAGAAGACTAAAATGATTATAAAATATCATACATTGCAGATAAAAAATAACCAGTAGCTAAACACCAATTTGCATACTTCTACCAATTACAAAACGTTCATACTGGCTGGCTATGGT